ATCGGCGATAGAGTTTGTGGATTTCCAAGGGTCTCAGAGGGATTCGATCTGGAAGACGCGCGCGCTGAAGCCTTTGATGACATGCGTGTTGAACGGAGACAAAGAAGTTATAGACAGCGCGGACATGGTGACGTGGTGAAAGGTTCTGCTGCACTTTACGAGCAGCTTTGCTCGTCGCGATGCTGAGTGGGGCCGCGCCCGGGGATATTGAGCGCAACCGCTGAGAAGGCCGCCGACCTATTCGCTCGCGTCGAGACCCAGGAAGCAACGCAGAAACTTTAACGGCACAAGTGCACATGCAACGCCGGGGTCGTGTCAGAGATGTCTCCGACGCTGGAGACAGCGTTTGGCACGTTCGTGCAGATGTGTCAAATATCACGTGGAAGCCGCGGACAAAGTCGCCCAAATCGTCGAGAGAGGCAGCCGCGAAGGTTCCCCAGGAGGCCGGGGGCGAGCGGCTGCCCAATATTTACTTGCCGATCACAATCATTCTCTTTTCTACAAGCTGTTCGCGCGCCTATTCACGACGGACTGCAGCCAATGCTGGAGCCGCATCGGGGCGGCGACCGAGCTGGATGCCGGGGCGGGTTTTGCGCGGAGGACTTTCTGTTTGCAGTCGCGAAGGCGCGGGGGCGCGCATTTCAAGCGCGGTTTGTTGCGCTGGGCGCCAAGCCCTGTGGAATGGCTCCCACTAGCAAGGTGCGCCCGTTCAGTGCATCATCGTTTCGGGGCATCTGCGCGCGGGGCAAGTTGCCCGAGTCGCGACCGAAAAGCAGGGGAAGTGGCCCCCAGTTGAACGCGGCGCCAAGCAGGGATACCCACGCAGATCGCTCATGTCCAGCGCCTTGCTCGAGGACGCGATGCGCCCGATCATGGCGAGATTGCCGTCGCGAGGCTACGGCGTCCCACTCGGTTTCCTTGCGTCGCCGAACATGGCCACTTCGCGCGACGCAGTCGACGCGTCGTTGCGTGGGCGGGCACGGCGCCGCGCGAATGCCCGGGCAAACGTCGCGAATAATCAAGAACAAAGGAAGGGTACATGCATCGTGACTGGCGGCGTGCGCATCGAGATTCAGCCGCGGGATGAGACGGGCAAGTACCATTGCAAAGTGCTCGGGCCATCGCCAGACATTCGCACAGAGTTGGGGCGTCGCGCCCAGCTGGCTTGGAAAGTCTTCATGGCGCGATAATCGGAGCTGACGAGTAAGACGTATGACTGGTCGTTGCGTCTCCATTTTCTCGAGAGCGCCCTTGCGCTAAATGGGCGACGCGGGTCGTCTTCATGGGCGCTGGCGCAGCATGCGCCGGGGAGGCTGCAAAGCACGCGCGGAACAGCGTCGCGCATGATTCTCGTCGCTTGCAGGCGCGCGATCGACGGGGTCGACGGGGGCGCCGGGGCCTCGGGCGCTGTGTTGGGGCCCGACGAAGCCCCCGATGAGAACGACGGCGCGCGCGCAGAGCGTCGCGCCGAGAACGACAGCGAGAGCCGTGGCGATCTCGAGCCGCGGGTTGCCTGGGCAAAACGAGCGTCGACCAGAGTCGAGCATCAAGTAGACGCGCTGCGCGCTGACGATTGGCGCATAGCGCGGCGCAGTGAGGCGCGGAGGTCTGCGCGCTGAACGACGTCTTCACGCCGCGACAAGTGGGCGATGAAGGCGGCGCCGCGCCACCCCGAGTTCCGGAAACACTCCGGCGGGCGCCTGGTAGACCGGCCGAGGAGGCGATGGGCAGACGATATGTTTGCGCACTTGCAGCAGAAAGGTTCTGAGGCGACGCCGGAAACTGGTTCAAATACGCAGCTGATGGAGCTGCGCGGCGCAAGTTGGAGGCAAGGTAGATCATCGCAAAAATATATTGTCACGTGGGAGAGAAAGCGGCTTCGACCTCTGACTTCCGCGGCGCCATCCACCCGCTCCGCCGCGAAGCGCTCCGCGTCGCGACGAGGGCGACTTGTCCCGTCCCAGGGCCCCGCGCGCGGCCGCGACGGGGCGCGGGGCGCGCTCCTGGCGCCGCCGCCCCCGTCCGACGGGGCCGCGCGGCCAGTGGCGCAAGGCCTCGTTGAGGCCGCGCCCTTCCTCCGCCCCGCTGGCGCCCCCGCCGCCGCTGCCGTCGCCTGGCCGACGGCGCTCGACGCGGGCGTCGCGGCGCCGCGCGCGGCCGGGGCGGGCGAGGACGCCGCTGCGGGCGACTTCAACGGCAAGATTGGCACGCGCGCGGCGCGCCTGCCAGCGCTCGCCTCTGACGGGATCGCCCGCCGGCCCATCGTCTTGGACGACGCGGGGCCGCCCGCGCGAGGACGCGTTGGCCGCGGTCGCGGCCGTGGCTGCCGCGGCAGGGAGGCGCACGGGCGCGCCATCGCGCGCTCTCGCCGCGCGGGCCCGCGCCAGCATCGCCGCTGCGATCTGGCGCCGAGCGGCGCGCGCGGCCGCTGCGCGCGGCCCGCGGCTCGCCTGACAGGGCGCCGGCGCCGTTCTGCCGGGGGCCGGGGCCGCCCGCGCAGCCGACGCCGACGACGCCGCCTCCGACGTGGACCCGCCAGCGGAGCCGCCCCCGCCGGCGGTGCTCCAGGACGCCTCCTCGCCCGCCACCCCTTGCCCGACGTCGCCCGCCTGCCCCTTGCATGTCCCCCGCCCATAGTTTGATTGTTGGGGGGAGGGGCAGAGCCGGTGGGGGGCGCGGCGTTGGCGGTGGCGCTGCTGGGCGCGGCGGGTGAGGCGCTGGCTGGCCCCGAGGCCGTTCTGGGCACTGGCGGCTCGGCGCCTGCCGAGCGCTCGCGGCCCTGCAGTTCGTGTTCGCACGTGGGCCACCGCGAGAGCCGTCGGGGGCGGGCTAACGCTGCTGCCTGGGCGTTCGAAGGCGGGCCCGCGGCTAGTGCACGCGCCATCGGGCCCCGGCGAAGGGGCAGTCACTGGTTGAGCCTTGGTCCCCCCCCCCGAAGCCACAACGATTGGCAACTTAACGCGGTGCGAAACAAATCGAAGCGGTGTGACGCCAGGCGAACCAACGCGAAGCAACACATGTCAATTGAGTCTAGCGTGCGTCAATACAAAAAGCACATCACTGCGAAACAATACGAAGCAATATCACGCAACCCGATATATTGCGATGCGATACGAAGCACGTTCAAGCCATTGCAACGCAACGCAATTCAAAACATCGCAACGCAACATTATGCAATGCAAACACGCGCCAAGTCACACAAAACACTGGGCAGCAATGCGAAGCACTGCAGAGCAACGCACATAATTGCAAGGCGAAGCAAACGAATGCAAAGTGCGAGCCTCGCACACTCAAACTCGTGACTAAGAATTGCGGCGGCGGGCAATGATGGGCGGCCACAAGCTGGCCAGACCCACTACCAGGCACGGCGGCGACGGGCGGCCATCAGCCGGCCGGACCGACAACCAGGTACAGTTTCTTCGAGGAGAAGTAAGAAATCCGAGATGCAAAAGTTGTGGATTGATGTATCCGTGGCCAAATGGGTTGATGGATTGAAGGAAGGGTGGATCGTTGGATACGTGTTTTTTAATTGCTATTCCGATGGATGGAAGCACTTGGATATCTAGGTGCCAGGTGTGTGCATGATTGGATTGGCGTGTGCATCGACGGCAATATGGATTGATACGCTACGTTTGTAGGACAACGTTGAAGCGTTGTATATTTCAAGGATGCAGTGCGCACGTGGGCTTAGTCTGGCAGGTACATGCACGTAGGGATCGTCGCTACACATATTGAGCTACTCGCGCGCGATATCACAATGGACACGTAAAACGCAGCGTGTGATTAATGACGTTCGACGAGGTTCCACAGATCGATTGTCATGGACGCCCCACACGGCAATAGTAGACTTCACGAACGACCCACCCCAGCGGCAGTCACAACATTAGGTTTAGGCCCATTTTTTCTACGTGGGCAGCGTGCTTCGGGAAGGATCTTTCCACATACCGCTTGCGTGTGGATGCAGCTGCTGGGCTCTGAAACGTGAACATCTGCAGCGGGGGCATGAAAACCATGAGGCAGATGGTGCGTGGGACTGCATAGTTGTGTTGTCACTTTCTGCCGCTGCCTTGGTGTTAACGCTGTGCTGGGCCAACCGTTTCTGGAGGGTCGGAGCTGCAGTCGACACTGCCTTTGTGGCGAGGTGGCGTTGTTTGACACCGCGCTGCAGGCCCACGCACAAGATTAACGCCAGGTGGTGCTGAATCGAGCCTACGGCTCAATTGCATGATCTGGAGTGTAGTGCTTCAGATGTGTTCACCAAATTAGGCGATCTATTTCCCCTGGATGTGAAATTGCAAATCGCCCACGTGTGATCTGCAGCATGCTTCCACGAGCAGGACGATGATTCTGTGGTTGCGGAAGCATCGGACGATTGTGCCGACATAGTGGCACGAATTTTGCAATTTTCCATCCTTATGTAGCATGGCACATTTCGTTGGTGGCATTTTTGGTCAGGTGCCACGCCGCCCCAGGTCTTAACCAAGACCCTTTCGCGAATGGACGGCGTGGGCATCGCAATGCAGCACCTGGTGCCCATATATTCCATATCGCAGCACAACCTCATGTCATCCCGCGCACGTATGTGCGCAGGTGGTCATAAACAAAGGTCCTTCCCGTCCACCCCGCTCAGATGTTTTAGATCCATGTCGGAATGATCGGAGGATGTGCTGGCGTGGAGGTGAGCAGTGACTTGCGGGATTTCTTTCGAGTCGAGCTCAGTGTTCGAGTGTGAGCCGGGGATTCCTACAACAAGCGGGCTCGGAATCACTTTTGCCCGGGTGCCCCGTGGCACCATGGCCGAGCCTTGCCCTGCGTTGTATCCCTGACCCTTCTGGTTTGCAGCGCGAACTCGCTCTCGCCAGACAAAGCTGGCTGCCTGGCCAGGGTGCTCCCTGGATAACCACGCACCTGGTCTGGAAAGCAGAGGATCGAGACAGCGACGAGGTTGGGGAGGGGGGGAAGTTGTTCGAGCAGGAGCCGTCATGCCCCAGTCCCATCAGGTCTCCATCTTCCCCACCCCCGTGGGCGGGCCTGTGGACGTCAATGGCTGTGAGCACGCCAGGCGGGCGCGTTCGGCTGGGGCCCTTTGATGCACGCTGATTTTCCCGATCCGTCCCGCTCAGCGCCTCAGTCTCTCTCTCTCTCTCTCGTTCTCCCTCTTCTTTCCCCCCGCCTTCCCCTCGCTCGCCACTCTCCTTCCGCTCCCCTTTGTCCGCCCTCTGGCCCCCCTTCCGCCCTCGCCGCCTCGTTCCTCGCACCCCCCCGCGCCCCTCCCCGCTCCCCCCCCCTCCTCGCCCCCCTTCGTCCTTCGCCCTCGCCCTCGCCGCCCCTCCCACGGCGCAGTGCTCCTCGGACGGCGCAGGGCCGCCTGGGCCACGCCTCCGGCCTCGGCTGCCCGCATGGGCCCAGGCCCTCTGCGCTCGTGCCGCCGGCATCCTGAGAGGACAGCGCGGGCCCGGCTCTCCGATCTTCAGGAGGGAAAAAACACACAGACACAATTAATCGGCGATTCCCAGAGAATATGCGAAAATACGGGAAGTGGGGGGGAAGACAAAAACCCAGAAAATATAGGAAAATATGTGGAATCTTGTTATTTGTGTGTATTTATTTGTGTGTCCCAGTTCCCCTTCAGAGATGGGCACGGAAAGAATGGGTACGATGCCCAACAGCAGTTCCTGCTCATTCTGAACAGGACTCGCTGTCCGCGCCGCCGCGGCCTGTGCCCATTCGAGACAGGAAGGCCGCCTGCCCAACGGCGGCCGCTGCTGGCTTGGGACAACGTTTGCTGTTGGGCCTTGTACCCATTCTTTCGGTACCCATTCCGGGCGTCCAACTCCGAGTCGGGGACCGCGGAGGCCCGTGCCGACCCTTTGGACCAGAGCGCGGCGACCCACGGGGCGAGGTCCCTAAAAGTGTCGGGGGCCCTGCCGCACGGACGCGCTGATGAGGCCTCCCCACGGAGGCGTGTCGTGGTGCCCGGCGTCCCTTCCCCGGAGGGCGGCACGCAATCGAACGTTCCGGTCCTGGCCCTTGGGCGGCTGGAGGTTGCGGGGGGAAGCACCCCAGCCCCCATGGGACAGGCGCCCCTGCGGTGGGACGTCTCACTTCCTCCTATTCTGCATCCGCTGATGGACTGCGCGCGGCTGATGATGTTGTCGCTGTTGTCGCTGTTGTCGCTGATGATGATGATGATGAGGAGGAGGAGGAGGAGGAGGAGGAGGAAAAGAAGGAGGAGGAGGTGGAGGAGGAGGAGGAGGCTGAGGAGGAGGGGTACGGCAAAGTTTGGGTAATTTTGAAGAAAGGGGTAAGTGAAAAGGGTGGAGGATGCGAAGGAGGGAGGGAGGAGGAGGAGGAGGAGGAGGAGGAGGAGGAGGAGGAGGCGGGAGGACTCTAACACGTTTCGAGAGGAGGAGGGACAAGGGGGAAGGAGAGAGGGAGGGAGGAGGCGAAGGAGGAGGAGGAGGAGGAGGAGGAGGAGGAGGAGGAGAGGGAGGAGGAGGAGTCACAGACCCGAGAGCCGCCAGCATCAGGACCAGGCGGAAATGTTGGAGCGGGAGGAGGAACATGAGGAACATAGGGACAGGGAGCGATTATGAGGCGGAGCATGGGGGAGGCTGGCTCTCTTTCCACATATTGCCGTTCGAGGTGGTGGTTGGTTTGGGGGAGGCGCCCCAGTCGGAGGGCCGGCGAGGACAAGGACGGCGACGATCCCCTTTGCCGTCCTCCCTCATCTCCCTCCTGCCACACCCTGACAGCTGAGGAGGCGGAGGAGGAGGAGGACCAGTGTAAACCCAAGAGTCACCAACGATGTTGGAGTAAACCCTCCCCCAAGCTCCCTCTTCATAGGCCCCTACAGCTGTTCATTTCCACAGAGGGTCCTGCCTCGTTGGAAGTCAACCGTTCAAAGACCCAGAAGCATGCCAAAACATTATTCTCGGTATTCCAACGCCACGGATGAACCTGACTGTTGCGTCTTGAGATTCTGCATCGGGCCAGAACGCCATTCCTGGGACCTCAACTCCGCGAATCCTCGTAACTGTTGCGCCGTCAACATCGTGAATCATTCCAAGAAACCATTTCTGATACGTCGACCCTGCGAATCCGTGAAATATTTAGCAAGAGTGTGCGCGGCGCTAAAACGATAGCCACATTTTGAAAAGGAACCGCCCTCAATCCGTGAACCTCTTGCAAATTTTGAAGACGAATCTGCGCGGCGCTAAGGCGAGAGCCACATTGTGAAAACGACCCGCCCTCAATCCGTGAACCTCTTGCGAATTTTGAAAACGAATGTGCGCGGCGCTAAGGCGAGGGCCACATTGTGAAAACGACCCGCTCTCAATCCGTGAAGCTCTTGCAAGTGTTGAAACCGAACGTGCGCGGCGCTAAGGCGAGAGCCACTTTTCGAAAACGACCCGCCCTCCATCTGTGAAACTGTTGCCAATGCTTCAGCTCCAGGGTCATAAATGGTGAGGAGGTCTCAGGCAAAACGCCCAGCCCGCCCTAAAAACTGGCCTCGGGGTGCGACAGGGCGAAGTTGTTTATGAGGAGAAGGAATGGAGGAGGATTCGCCCAGGAGGGAGCTCTTGCGAGCAAGCTTTGAGCCTTCAAGGTCGCTCTTCGGTGTTCTCCGCCTGCCAGCATCTTGATGGAGCCTGGCAGTCGCAGGCAGGCTTCGCACTGCAGGCTTGCCTTTCTGTACTCTGAGCTCCCCGCTGCCACATCTCGGCCGCGAAGAGGAGGAGCTCTCTGGCGCCCGCTCCGCCAGGGCCCCCGTCTTCCCGTCCGTCGTGCAGCCGCCGGTGTTCCCGAACGAGGCTGCGGTCCCCGCCCCCGTGCGAGGGGCATCTCGCAGGGGGGGTGGCCAGTGTGGAGCGGTGCTCGAGGAGAGGTGGGCTCTCCTCCTGACGGCGGGGGTGGTGGCAGGGGCAGTGGAGGATCGGGCAGGGCATGGCAGGGTGGGGCAGGGCTTGTCAGGGCGGGGCACGCCAGGGCAGCGCGGGGTGAGCCAGGTAGGGGCAGGTGGTGGCAGGGCGAGGTCAGGGTAGTGCGGTAAGTGATGCTGGATAGGTGGTAGGCGAGGTTGGGCAAGGCAAGGAAGGGAGGGAGAGGCGGGCGCCAAGCAGTGGGAAGGCTGGTCAATGGGGCACCGATCCAGTGCTAGTGCTCGGTCAGCTGGATGAGTCATTCAGTCCCAGCGCCAAGCGGCGACGGTGCGGCACTACTCGGACACCTGAGCCGCATAGCTGCCTCCGCTTGGATTTGAAGTTTCTTGTAACATCTCAATATCGAATATAGGCAAATACGCCCCCCCCCCCCCCTCGGGAGCGTCCCACACATCTGGGACATCTGGGGGCAACTCCCGGTACCGCACCCCAGGACGTTCTGGGGACCCCCCAAAACGCTCCATGACGGCCCAGGACGCCCCCAGGGAGCCCCCAGATCGCGAAAGGACTGCCCAAGACGCTCCCAAGCAGCCCACGACAGACTTCCGACGGCTCTCCAGGCTCCCAGGAGGCCTCCAAGATGCCCCAAGAGAGTTTCGAGAGGCGTCCTGGGAGCGCCCGAAGAGACAAACATCGTTGATTTCCAGTGTTTTTAAATTGGTTTTTAGCCTTCTCGCGTTTCGAGCTTCCAATGCTCCAAGACGGCCGAAAAGGCCCCCAAGACCGCCCCAAGACCGCCCAAGAGCTCCCAAGCCGGTTCCAAGATGGGCCAAGAAGGCCCCAAGACGGGCCAGAGCGTCCCGAGGCTGCCCAAGAGAGCCCCAAGATGGCTTGAAAAGCCGCAAAACAGGGGGAACGCGCGTCGACAATCCCGGCTTTCAGCTCCAAAAGGCATCCAGGACGCCCCAAGAGCCCCCACGAGCCCCGGACAGGCCCAAGAGTGGCCCCAAGAAGCCCCCAAACAGCCCCCCAGCGGCCTCCAAACTGCATCCCTTAGAGCTCCCATGCACGCCTCTGAGGTCCCCCCGATTCCTGCGCATTACATGTTAGGAGGCCCCGTCTGAAGAAAAAAATTGGAAATCCAGTGATTCTCTGTTTGTTCAAGTGCATCCCGAGCCCCATCAAGAATTCAGTGTCAAATTGCAAAGATTGTTCGGGAATGCTGTTGAACTCTCTGACGCTGTCTTGACACTCTGTTGGGTCGTCTTCGTGTCCTCTTGGCTGCCCTTGAAACCACGGTAAAAAAAAACGGCATCCCATGAGTTCACCAGTCCAGTCAGCGCGCGCGCGCGCCAAGACAGAGACAAAAGAGAGCACCTGCCCAAAGCTTTCGAGCGCTTTGCCTCGAGATGGCTCCAAGGTTCTCGCAAAGGCTCTCGAGGCGCCTCCCAGGTGCCCTCAGAGGCTCCCGGGGAGGCTCCCGGGAGGCACCCAGAGCGTCCCAAGAGGGGCCCCGACAGGCTCCAGAAGAAGCCCTTGAGGCCCCCAGGAGGCGTCCCGGCAGCCCGTGGCCTGTGTCAAGGAAACTTCTTGATCCACGGCCCAGGCATGGCAAATCAAAGACGAAGTCAAGAATTCCGTTCTTTTCAAGCTTACTCCAGATTTCGTAACAAAAGGGAGGGGGTCTGGACCCTCCAAGACGAGCCATTTCAGACCCCCCCTGTGGGAGAACCCTCCAAAACATCGCCCCCAGACCCCCTCAGGCCCTCCAAGATAGCCTGGAAGAGACCCCCCCCCCGAAATGAGACCCCCCTCCCTTTATTACGAAATCTGGAGTATCTTTTGTTTATCTTTGCTCAGCAGACCATAATCAAGGCCCCCGTCACCACCGAAGAAAGATCCCAGGAAGCCTTCGAGGCCCCCAATTCATCGAACACCGAAAGGAAATTGATGATTTTGTGGTTTCCACATCTCCCCTTCTATACGCTTCCGAGGCTTGCGCAGGGGCTCCAAGGAGGTCGTTCGATGCATCAGGCACTTCAACAATTGAGATTCCATGCGTTGGCGTGTCGAGCCTAGCTAGAACTTGAGCGCGCGCGATGGTTCTAGTTTTTTTGTGTATATAATGTAAAGATATGCACATCGCGTGGCTTGGCGGGCCGTGCAGTGCCCATTGTCAACAGGGCTCGCTCGGGCGAGAAAACAGAACGGCAAGCTGGGTGCCGAGTCCTGTGCATCACGCGGCTGCTCCACTCTTCTCGGCCGCCGTGGAGCCCGGCCTTCTTCCCCCCTTTCTTCCCTTCCCCTCCTTCCGCTTTCCCCCCCCCCCCCCCGCTTCCAGACCTCAGTTGTATACAGATTGTACTGAGCGCTGGTTCAGATTGGGAGGCGCGAGTCCAGCGGTGGAGCATCCCCAGGTCCCCTTCTCCGTGCCCGCGCCGCCGTTCGCCGTGCCCAACCTGTCACAGGCGCCGGCGCGACCGCCGCGTGATGCGCCCGCGTGGCTGGCCGAAGCTGGGCTGCTTGGGCCTCCCTCGTGGAACCGCCTGGTTGGGGTTCGGAAGTGGATACACCATTTGAGGTGGAAGGCGTCAGGAGGCGAGTTGGCACGCTGGGGTCGGGACGGCGTAGGTTCACAAAGAAGGCCCCAAAAACTTGATAATGCTTGGGCGCACGAAGACGCAGGCCAATCCAAGAGCTGCTTGTCTTGAGCGACGGCCTTTCTATTCGGGACCAGGATGCCAGCGCAACGATGATTGTAAAGATGTTCTCGTACTGATTGCGCAATAGATGCTGCCAGCTCCGTCAGTTCGGGAGGAGCTACTGACTGCGCAGATACCCCTGCCTTCCGCAATCCCTCTCCTCGTCCTCGTCGTGCGTCTCATATTCCTTCCCACTCTTCTTCAGCTTGCACAGAGAGTCCTTGCCCGTTTGCGTTTGCTTTGCGGCCGCTGGTTTTGAGCAGATTTGGTCGCCAGCAGGTTGCCCACTGCGTGCTGGGTCGCCTCAGAGGGCCAGGCGTAACAGGATCATGAGGAGAAGGCCGAGTAGAAAGAACAAAAGGAAGACAAACCAGGGCAAGGAAGAAGACAGGGATTGGTTCAGCAACGCGCAGGAAAGCTGGGGAAAGCGAAGCGAGGCCGCAGGAGGAGGAGGCCCACCTGGGAAAGGTGAAGCAAGGTGGCGCAAGGCCAGCGGAGCGGGTAAAGGCATGTATCATAAAACAGGAAACCGGACCCCCGGCCCCAGGGGTGGCCCACTTTTCCGAAACTCCCCCCCGGTCCCCTTTTCAATCCAAGGTGGGGGGGCCGACCCTTTTCGGGGCGCTTCGGGGCCAGGCCCGCTGTTGGTAGACCGCAAGTCGGCATCTAGAGCGATCAGACAGCCGATCCGGCGGCCGGACAGCCGATCCGCCGCTGGAGAGGCGTTTAGCCTTCCGTCCAGGGCGCCGCGCGGTTTCGCGCGGCACAGGGCTTCATTTCCCCCCCCGTGGTCGCGGAAACCCACGGCGGCGCTGCGCGCAGGGCCTTCGAGGCCCCAGCCAAGTGGGCGGCTGGCGCGGCGGGGGAAGACGCCGCAGTGGTTGCGGGCCACCACGCCCAGCAACTGTCCGTCTCCCCGCGCGTGGAGAGCGCGGGCGGTGTTGCGGCGCTTCCAGACGCTGCAGCGGTCCGTCTGGCAGCGGCCACGGCTGCTTCCACTGCGGACGCCGCGAGAAGCATGCCCGGCGCGGCCTAGCGCCCCCCGCCCACCATCGCCTGTCTTTGCTGGCCAGCACGCCCCCCCCCCCCTCCCCGCGCCCTGCCGACGACGTCGCGCTAGCGGCTCCTCGCCCCGCCCCCTCGCGCGCCGCCTGGCCCTTCCCTGGCGGGGCAGTGGGTGATCCTTCAGAAGGCCCTCCCCCCGCCAAGCCGCAGCGTGGTGGGCCTGGTCGGCCACCCCGCGCCGCCCCTGGACGACCCCGACGGCCCCCCCCGACGATTGTCAACGGTCCCCCCTCCGACGCCCGCTGCCCATGCAGGGTTTCAACCGACGGCGGACTCATGGCCACATCATATGTTGTTCCTCAAGTTTACGAGTGTCGCGTGGACGACGACTCCAGTTTAGGAGTCGGACAAAACAGGGCGATGGCATTTGCCAGCCCGCGACTCAGGCGTGCGACTCCTCGCGCTTTCGTCCAGTCAATTTCGTTATTCGTCTGCCGTGCCGCCGAGCGCTCTGACGGTCCTCATTTAGATCAGGAGAAACATTGGCCTTCAGCGGTCGTGTGCGAGCACAGAGGCGGACATGGCGGGTGGCGCCGCGACGAGGAGGTCTCGCGGTCCGTTCATGTGTTGTCTCTCCTTTTCTTTCCCTTCCTTCCCGTATCCAATGTTTCAGTCCCTCTGCCCCTGTCCCCTGTTGGATTCTAGCATGTAGTGGAAACCGTGGTTCGCTCCCGCGCGAACTTTCGGGCCCCTTCTGGAGCCTAACTCGATCAAACAAAATTGATGTTTGCAGGGAAGAAGGTGATACGCATCTAGGCCTCCTTGTTTCTTGCATTTGTCATTCAGTTATTTGTATTGCCTCGTCTTCGGCATCCTGTTCCTCCTCCATTTCCCCGTCATCCGGTGGCATCCCCATGCCAAGCAAAAGTGTCGACATGTTTGCCCCACACATATGTCAGCTCGCGCAGCAGGGCAGCCTTGGAGACACGGCTTTGTCAGCTTAAGTGTGCCACGTGTTTTCGTTCTGGACGGATGGCGCGGCCGTAGCTTGGCGGCGCGTCCGATACGCAGGTGGTCACTGGGGGTTCCGTACCCCAACCCATTCGGTGATCCAGTGGAACTGAGGAAATTATACCAGCGCGACCCTACCTAGGAGTTGGAGCCCCTAGGAAAGCAGCATTAATAGTAACAATAAAGCTAAGCTAAAGCTAAGCTGAAGCTAAGCTAAACGCTAAGCTGAAGCTAAGCTAAAACTAAGCGAAAGCTAAGCTAAAGCTAACGCTAAGCTAAAGCTAAGCTAAAGCTAAGCTACAACTAAAGCTAAAGCTAAAGCTAAAGCTAAAGTTAAAGCTCCCAAGGGACTGGGGGAATCGCGGGGCGGGGACTGGGGGAACCGCCAGGGGCGGGCAACACTGCCCGGCCCCTTTAAGCAAAGAGAGTAAGAACCCTTCTAGGCGGAGCCTAGGTAGGGAACATAGTCAAACCACATACACAATAAGCTAAGCCAAGATAAGGGGGCGCTATGCTAAGCTATGCTATGCAATACTGTGCTATGTTATGCTATGCCATGCTATGCTATGCTACGCTAAGCTAAGCTACATTAGGCTAAGCTAAGCTAGGCTAAGCTAAGCTAAGGTAAGCCAAGCTAAGCTAAGCTAAGCCAAGCTAAGCTAAGCCAAGCTAAGCTAAGACGAGATAAGCTAAGCCAAGCTAAGGGGGCGCGACTGGGGGAACCGCGGGGCGGGGACTGGGGGAACCGCCCGGGGCGCGTTCCACTGCCCGGCCCCTTTAAGCTAAGAGTAAGAACCCTCTAGGCAGAGCCTAGGTAGGGAATTATCCCAGTGCGACCCTACCTAGGAGTTGGAACACTTAGGAAAGCAGCATTAGTAGTAACAGTAACGCTAAGCTAAGGCTAAGCTAAAGCTAAGCTGAAGCTAAGCTAAAGCTAAGCCACAGCTAAGCTAAAGCTAAGCTAAAGCTAAGCTAAAGCTAAGCTAAAGCTGAGCTAAAGCTAAGCTAAAGCTAAGCTACAGCTAAGCTAAAGCTAAGCTAAAGCTAAGCTAAAGCTAAGCTACAGCTAAGCTACAGCTAAACTAAAGCTAAGCTAAAGCTAAGCTAAAGCTAAGCTAAACGCTAAGCGGAAAGCTAAGCGAAACGCTAAGCTAAAGCTAAGCTAAGCTAAAGCTAAGCTAAAGCTAAGCTAAAGCTAAAGCTAAAACTAAAGCTAAAGCTAAAGCTCCCAGGGGACTGGGGGGAACCGCTCCCAGGGGACTGGGGGAACCGCCCGGGGCGCTTTGCACTGCCCGGCCCCTTTAAGCTAAGAGAGTAAGAACCCTTCTAGGCAGAGCCTAGGTAGGGAAAAAGGTAGTTTACTCGTGGGGGGTTCTCGCGGCACTGCCCCCCCCTTCGTGCAGGCAATGGACATTGGCCATGCTCCTGTCCCCGGACTTCCCGCCGTTTGATTATTCAACGCTTTGCCCACGACGTCAGAAATTTGGTGTTGGCACAGCCATGTTTGAGGGAACCCTGCGGTTTGTCCACCTTGGTTTGGGGAGGGGGCGTCCCGTCAAGGGGCTTACATGCAGAAGGAAAGCGTAGGCGTGTTGAGTGCTAAGCGGCAGCGTGCTCTGGGTTCGGTCTGGTGCAATGTTGTTGGCATCCACTCTCAATTAAACCACGAGGAAGCCAGTATGTTGAACGAAGAGATAGCCAATACTTGTTTTGAATTTCGGGCATCGTGAAAATCCACGAGCGCGTAGGGCCCTCTGAGCTGTTCCAGGGAGCCCCAAGACGGCCCAAGATGTTTCCAAGACGCCCCAAGAGAGCCCCAAAGTGATTCCCAAGATGCCATCCCGAGGCACAGACTGCTTGAAATTTGAGGGTGTAGAACCGAAGTGGAACGGAGGCCCTCAACAGGCTCATCTGGGGCGTGCCCCAGGTTGTCTCGCTGTTGTCCCGTGGTTAAACCCGTGGTGTGCCCGTAGTTGCCCCGCAATTGTCTCGTGGTTATTCAGCGGTTCATTGGTAAATGTCCCGTCCCGTGAATGTCTAGCGGTTGCCTTTTTTGTGTAGCGTTGTAGGTAATGCAACGAGTACCAAATACACACAAATATATTTGGGAGTTGTATATTTCTTGTGAATGGTAGATCAGGATACCGTTCGATGTATTAATTGTGCGATTCACCGGATGGTAGCGAAATAGGCATATCAATATTTGGGCTTACAGATAGTTCGATCGTGGTGTCCCGTGGTTATCTTGCGGTTATCCCGTGGTTGCACCGTGGTTGTCCCTCAATTGTCCTTTAATTGTCCCGCGATTGTTCCATGGTTGTCCCGTGGTTCCGTGGTTGTCCCGTGGTTGTGTTGTGGTTGTTACGCGATTGTTCCGCGGTGGTTCCGCGGTTGTCCCGCCTACGCGGTTAGATGGATCGATCATGATATTGATGCGCATATTGTGTATACATGCTCACCGATGTACATCTACATAGATGTGTGAATATGCACATCACACATATTGCATATACGTAGGTTCTCTTTTGATGGACGACATAATGCAATGCACATGGGGGTATGAACATTTATTTTTCCTGTACATGCATATGCGCATGAGCAGTGGTGGTGGGTCAGGCATTGGCTCGCGCGTAGCATGAAAACAGTGTCAGACATATTTGTAGTTTGATAGTTTGATCGATGGACGGACAGCGTGGCCTGTGTACTAGGCTCCCAAAATTATCCCGAGTCGGCCCAATTTGGCTGTGAGACGACCAAAAAGATCCCAAAGAGGACCACGAAGAAGGCCCCCAGCAAACCAGCATGGTAGACCAGCACGGCAGGCCCTGTATAGCCCCGCACCCCCAAGGCCTCCAAGAGGCCTCCAATGAGCTCCGTAACGTCCAGATTTCACGCATTTCAGACGTGCACCCCGCGAAGCGAAAGGAGTTCTTTGGAATTGGTGGCAAGGCTGGGAACCCGCCTAGCCGCGAGTCGTGATTGAGATTGGTGATGAGGTTGGGAACGAGTCCTCCTCTCCTTCTCTTCGTACGGTCGGCCATGATTAGTAGGTCGACCCTGCCAACTCAAGGGTACCCTTGCGTCCTGCGTCTCGCTACCCATGCCTGCTGCATTCCTGCGGCAACGTGGCCCTCGGAAGGGCCTCGTGTCCTCTCGCGTGTCCTCTCCAATCAGGTACGAAGGTATCTTCACCCATGATGATCCACGGTCCTCCCAGTCTTACTCGTCATATCCCTCCTCCCTCGTCATCATCCTTCTTCGCCTCCGTCATTCGCTTTGTCCGCCTATGGGTCGCTCGCCTCGCAGGTGCAACGGCGTGTGTGCCAATTCGTTGCGAGCTCGCTCGCGCGAGAAATGCAGTCCACCCGAGCGCGT